TCCCCCTGTGCTGTGACAGGGGGAGGACGACCCTCCTCCTTCTTCGGTGCTGGGAAGGGAGGCCCCTTCCCCCCCCCTGGAGGGGTCCTCCGGGGTCCACGAGGAGAAGCCCGGGGCCGCGGGGAGGAGGCCCCCTTCCCAGAAGGCGCTGGCGGAGAAGGGGCCGAGGCGCCACGAGGCCGGGTGCGGCCGCCGCCGGATCCGCGGGAAGGTCTCGTCGACGAGGTGGGCGAGGTTGCGGTAGGTGTGCTCGACCTGGCAGACGCGCAGGGTGGAGGTGGGGTCGATAAGGAAGATCCGGGGTATGGGGATGCCCGCGGTGGTGTAGCTGATGAGGTCCGTGTAGCGGTTGCCAAAGCCGGCGAAAAAGGGCCGCGCGTAGGACGGGAAGGCCGCGCGAAGGCTCTCCAGACAAGCGATCTTGAAGAGGTGCGACCGCTTCGAGAGCTCCTGCGTGAGCGCGGAGAAGATACGCTGCGGGGCGGTTAATACCGGGCCGAGCGGAAGTCGCACGCCCTCCTGCTCGATAGACCATAAATAGCGCTTTGTCTGCGCAATCTGCGCGACGCTGCGGGCGGATAAGTAGACCATGTGATACCCATTTCCGGAGATCTTCGCGAATAACGAGCACGTCCCTGGATGCGTCCAATGACAACCTTTGCCTATGGCCTGATAGAAATGTCCCCAGAAGTCGCTTTTCGTGATGGTGCCGTCAATATCGCTCACCACAATTCGATCCGTACAGTCCCAGAGGAAGATATTGCAGTCAATGGCGACAACTTCGCTGTTTGGCGTATTTCGAGCCAAATACCGCACGCGATTGCAGCCCTCGCGCAGATTAAGCTTCTCCAGATCCTCTTTCATCGGAAGAAGCGAGCGAGAAAAATATGGTCCCGCATCAGTAGGATGGTTGGGGCCGCTATAAGTAATCTCCGTTGAGCTATTTTTTGTTGGTACGGATGGTAAACCTCCGGGCTTGACAACCCCTGTTTTAGTAGGATCCCTTTCTTTCGTCTTGTCTGGGCCTTTGAAGGATGTCTGAGTGACGTCGGTTTCGGATTTAGGCCGTAGAACCCTATCGCTTCCTTCGCGCGAAATCGCCTCTCCGTCAAAATATGTATTGATCGCTGTTGGAGAGCAACATGGCGTAGGTTTGGCCGCGAGAGCTCCTTCCGGAGAGCGTGTTTGACGACCTCCGGCAGAGATTTCAGCTGCTCGATTTGTAGATAATTTTTCCGTCGCAGGAGGAATCTCACCGAATTGACTCATATCCCCTACCAAAACGCCACTCGTTAGGCTACTGGAGAAGCTACAGCTGTCAAGAAGATTATCCTGCTCCATGGTAAGATCTACCGATTCGATCGGCTCAAGAAAATAGCTATCCTCATTGCCGTTATGATTGTTCGTATAGGATACGTCGCTATCGCTGTTGTGCAGGGAAAAATTTGAAGCAACGTCATACGAAGTCGCATTAGCGTGTTGGGTTGCTTCCACTGAGGTCAAGTTCTGGGGCATTGGATTATCTTTGTTTTGAGATCCTTTATTAACATCCACGCTGCTACTCGCACACTCTTGCATAAGAGTATTGTCTACTTTTACAGATGAGCTACTAGGATCCTGCGGGTCGACAATATAGAGTCGCGTAGGATTCGACAAATCCAAAAGGATAGGGGATTTAAAAGTTTCAAGAAACGTGCTATTGGAATCGATTTGTTTAGATATCAGGTTTTCCATGATCAATGGATCGCCATCCAGATCATTGCGATTAATTGACTCCCCGCAAGGGGAACCCGTTTTCTCCTGGATGTCTATCTGAGCTGCCTTCAGTGAGAACTGATTTTTTGAAATTAACATATTTGACATCTGTTGACGTGATGGTTCGCAAACGGCGACGGTCTTCCATAGAAATTTTAAACGCTGAGCTTCGCTGGTGTTGTGAATCTTGTCACGCAAGACGTGAATACTGCCGTCCACTCGTTTTTCCAACAGTGATAGGTTGGTCACATTATCCATGTGTTCTTCACTTGTTTTCTGCGATGGATGAGCGCTCTGTTCTACTTCTTTTTCATTTACTACTACAGAAGTTGTTTCCTTCCCATAAGAAGACTCATCAGGCCGTGCGCCTTCAGAATTTTCCAACCATGCTGCTTCAGTATTCGAAGTTCTTCTTTTATCAATTCCTACATGACTTCCATCATTATTATGAGTCTCAAGATTCTCCACATGATGGTTGTTGTCACCAACATTTTTACCTTCATTTAGTACGGTTTCCTTTTTTGTAAAGATTCCATAAGTTGGACAGAGCCAATAGGCGACACCTCCTTTGCCAATTTTCATCACAGCACTTGTTAGTGTCCCATTCACCTCCACCTGGACGATTTTGTTGATTGAATTCCATATCTTTGCGCGCCCGAAGCGAACATTGAAAGGGCTGCTGTGGAGAGAACCGTCTTTATGTCGAATAACAATCACATCATTCGCGTTACTGGACTGATCGAAGTGGTTGAGATTAAAGATCTCACCGATGGTTGAAATCATTATCGGAGAGCTCTTTTTTAAAAGAAAATTGCCTATTCAGATGTCTTATTAAGTTCACTACTAAAAAAGGAAAGTGTATAGGTGGTGAAGTTCTTTTTTTTCTATGTTAACCTTTTCTAAATTAACTAAAATTAAGCTTAATGCCTTTCACAGAGAATAATTGCAGGAAAGACAAATAGGGAAAAAATGAAATAAAGAACACACACAAACATTTTGTATATAATTTATCTAAAAAAGGGTGCGCCTTAACGATGCTGAATTAAATACAAACTCCTACGCTTCGCATTCATAGAAAGAACTATCACAGCTTCCAATGAAATACCAAGCAATGAATTCGATGGAAAATCTCAACGTGCGATCTTTTCGCCTTGCCTTTACTCTAAAAATGAACATTTATGAGATAAGACCTATCCCTTGAGTTTTTGCTGGCTTTGCTCTGGACTATCGTATATCTCTACTTATCAATGTTCCACCCCACTTTATTGAGAAATCATGAGGGAAATATTTTCAGAATCTTACGAAATACGTTGCTGAGGGCAGTTTTGCGCACACTAAATAAAATAAATTCCACTGAAGTTGTAACTTATAGGTGCACGGCTTTTGATTTTTTATAGGTATGAATAAAACCAATTAAAGAAAAAAAAAGCATCCCTGTCAATAAATCCGATCCAAGTGCGAGTCGTGCGTGAGTGTACCATCCCGAGCTAGGTTTTTTTTTTATCCTTACACATTTCGTCAAGTAAAGAGGCAAAATCAAAGCCATTTTTTTCCCCTCGAAACCGTGAACCCAATAATGCGCAAAGGACCTCCCCAAAGCCACCCTCTCTCTCTCTCTCTCTTTTTCCTTTTATTTTCCCCTTTTTGCTCGAGCTAGATATCCTCTGGCAGGTGCTCGCAGAGCCAATCGAGGCCCTCAAAAAGCCCTTGTCCGGTATGCGCGCAGCAACCCTGGATGTACCACCGCCGCCCCACGAGGTGCCGCCCCACGCCGTCGCCGGTGACCTGTGGGCCCGAATGGGGGTCGATCCCGAGCCGCCGCGCGATCTCCTCCGGGTTCAGCCGCTCCGGCAGGTCTTGTTTATTGCAGAGGATGAGCAAACTCGCCTCGGTGAGGGCGGGGTCGCGCAGGAGGCCCAGGAGCTCCTCCCGCGCGTCCGGAAGCCGCGCGCGGTCGTTGCTGTCGATGACGAAGATGATGGCGTGGGCGCCGTCGTAGTAGTGCCGCCAGAGCCCCCGCAGCCGCTTTTGCCCGCCAATGTCCCACAGGTGGAAGGTTACGTTGTGGAACTCCACCGTCTCCACGTTGAAGCCGACGGTCGGGACGGTGGGCTCGACGGCGTCGAGCTTGAGCTTCACCAGTATCGTCGTCTTCCCCGCGGCGTCCAGACCGACCATCAAAATCGTCGCCTTCTTCCGGCTGAAGACGCGCTCAAACCAGCCCACCACGGAGCTCACCGCGCCCATTCGCCTGCGGGTTTAGTTAGTTAGTT